GCCAAAGGGACCTTTGGTATCATCGACTTCTAATCTGAGCCTCTTGTTTTCCAAATGAGGTCCTTAGGGCCCCAGAGGTTAAGAGACTTGGTAAAGTCATCAGCCAGGAGGAGCAGGCACTAATGAGGGTCCCTTTGGTGACCAGATGTTGGGGTTTGGCAGCACTGTGGGTTCCTTTTTTCCTGTACTACAAATGGAATTCTAACTACCATTTGTAGCATCTGAATGTCACTCATATAATGACTGGTGGGGGCAAGGGAGGTGTGGGAGGTGTGGGATTGGCTGGCTGATCCAGGTGCCCAGAAAGCCCAGCCCGAGGTGGCCATGGAGATCAGGCTGAGGATGAAGGACGCTTCCTTTCCCTCCTGGACTATGCCATCCTCCAGCCGTTCTGTGCAGCTCCCCTCCCCTGTCTAGGCTGTCTGGTGTTCATTTTACCTGGATTACCCTTGCTCAGAATGGGGCAGGGCACACAAAACAGTGCAGTGAAATCTGGGTTTGTTATGTCCAGAACAGGTTTCAGAATATTTTAGTGTTTAGTGTCAGGTCAGACTTGAAAAGAATGAACTCTGTAAAATAAAACACAACAAGATCAACTAAAATGAATATGAAGATTTTTGTTTTAAAATTGACTGCAGATTCCTGGTTTCATACATTTATGTGCACTTTACACACACCCACACACACACACTCACTCATACTTGACCTCCAAATCCTATATACTGTACTGAACTGTGTATAGATCTGGTGGCTCCAAGTCCTTCCTGGTTAGTATTTTTCCTGGACTAATTATTCTTCAAGTTTCTAAAGTACCAGTGAGTCTAGCCTTAACATGAGCTTCTCTGCTCCCCAGTTGAAATGAGGATTCCACTGGATTGTGGCGCTGTACAATGCTAGGCACACAGTAGGTCATCAGGTTCATAAGCCTTCAAAGCCAAGGCCCCAGGAATGTGCCAAAGAACTGGCCTGTGCCTCAGGACTGCAGGCTCAAGCCTTGGATGGAGGCTGCATATTTGGACCACAACAATTAAAACCTCTCAGGTTTGCTAACCCTGAATTGAGTTAAATGTTAAAACCTTGGCATTTTTCGAGGGTTGATGAAGTTAATTCTCTACTGCATTCGCTATTTAAAACACGTTGTGGGAGGACATTGTCTATCACATCACTCAAGGTCCCCTTATATAAAGTCCCACGGAGTGTTTTTATGATTCCATACCACAAAAGCCCTGTTTCCGCTGAGTGTCTGGCGTGCTTCTGGAGGGGAGAGCATGATACCCGTTAGCTCACTTCCCATTTTGGAGAACCACAGACCTAACCAGGTTTCCCTCCACACCCGCACACTCAGAAGGGTCCTGTACATTCTACACTTCATCGCATGCACAATTGTGGTAGATGTTGACGTATGGGCTTTCCTAATCCAGGGCTCTAAAATTTCTTCTTAGATTTTGTTAGTTGATATTTTATTTTGTTAGTTGCTTTTTTTTTTTATTAACAAAAAATATTTGAAGTCATTGTGGATTTTGTCAATGTTCTTATAAACCCCAGTGATTTTAGCATTCATAGAGATTTGGGAATATAATATTTCCTCTGTACTGTCCGAAATTGCAGAGTGAAATGGTCCAGAAAGAACAGTAGGGTATACTGTTCTCTCAGGTTAAAGAAATCCTGAGGCAGGTGATCCAGCTCTGATATGCCTGCTCCTTTGGATCATCAGGGACCCAGACTTCTATCTGCTTTGCTGTCCTCTTAATGGGGCTCCTGGGGTGACCTCAAGGTCACTTCATGGCCAGAGATGCAGGAAGGGAAAGGGGCAGGAGAAGTCTTAACTTCCTGCCTTTTAGGGGCCTCCCCCAAAAATCAGAGCAACCTTGTAGAACTGACCAGAACTGGGCCGGTGCCGCGGCTCACTAGGCTAATCCTCCGCCTTGCGGCGCCGGCACACCGGGTTCTAGTCCCGGTCGGGGCGTCTGATTCTGTCCCAGTTGCCCCTCTTCCAGGCCAGCCCTCTGCTGTGGCCAGGGAGTGCAGTGGAGGATGGCCCAAGTGCTTGGGCCCTGCACCCCATGGGAGACCAGGAGAAGCACCTGGCTCCTGCCATCGGATCAGCGCGGTGCACCGGCTGCAGCGCGCCAACCGTGGCGGCCATTGGAGGGTGAACCAACGGCAAAGGAAGACCTTTCTCTCTGTCTCTCTATCTCTCACTGTCCACTCTGCCTGTCAAAAAAAAAAAAAAAAAAAAACCAAACAAACAAACAAAAAAAACAAGAACTGACCAGAACTTAGTCACCTGGACTCACTGAGCTGCAAGGGAGGCTGCAGTCTAGATTTCTCCAGCAAGGCACATTTCCCAGGTTTCTGCTACTAAAGTCAGATAAGAAAAATAACACAAGAAACTTAACTATTGGGAAACAATCAGCAGTCTTACACATTTTCAAATCTTTCTCTATGGGTATACATGGGTACTTCAGAAAGTTCCTGGAAAACAAAAAGATACATTTATTTTGGTGGAAAAAAAAATGAAATCCAGAGTGTTTTCTTTTTAATGATACATGTTTTCCATGAACTTTTTGAAGATATGCATGGATTTCAGAAATGTTTGCATCAAAATAAACTTCCCTTGTAATTCTTTTTTCCATGAATTTTTGAAGTGCATTATTTGAGAGGCAGATTTACAGACAGAGAGAGGGAAAGACTGATAGAAAGGTCTTCCATATGCTGGTTCACTCCCCAGTGGCCACAGCAGCCAGAGCTGGGCTAACCTAAAGCCAGGAGCCAAGAGCTTTTTCTGGGTCTCCCACGTGGTACAGGGGCCCAAGCACTTGGAGGTGCAGGTGGAGGCTTAGCCTACTATGCCACAGTGCCGGTCCAATAAAAATATTTTTGAATATTCAATTATTATAGAGTTACCCAGGACTAGAAGGGACCTTCAGTAGTTCTCTACCAGGGTTTCATATTCAGATGCTTACCCAAACCATTCAGGTTCTAAACGTCTAAAGTAAGCCAGAGGTCAGTGATGAGAAGAGAACATGTCCTGTCTGAAGATCTGAAGGGGACAGCGGCAGCCTGGCTCCACTCATTGTCCCCATATGAGAATGCTGGCTCCCTGTTCGGCCAAATGTTCTGATTTTGTTTTTTCAAGGGAAACCAGAAGCATACACTCATCAGAAATCTGGTGTTTGTAACTTGCCAATTCATAAGTTCAGTTTTTCAAAATGGCAGTCAAATGCAACACAACCCTGGTACTGCCAGTTCAGGGTCTTGGGTCTGGTCCGTGCTGTAGATTTTTCTCTGCAGTCCCTGCCTCACTGTCAGCTGTGGCAGATTTATCCCAGAATACTTCACAATGCTCATGGAAAATGGAATTAAGAGATGAGGTTATTTGGGGTGCAAGAAGGTGTTGAATCCATGCATAGTTTATTCATATTATGCATTTTTGATGAACTTTTTGAAGACCTGCTGTATGTGTGGGTTTCCACATTTTTTTCTTCTTCAGTAAAATTGACTTCTTGGGGCTGGTGCTGTGGCATAGAGGGTAAAGCCACTGCCTGCAGTGCCAACATCCCATATGGGTGCCGATTCAAGTCCTGACTGCTCCACTTCTGATCCAGCTCCCTGCTAATGTGCCTGGGAAAGCAGGGGAAGATGGCCCAAGTCCTGGAGCCCCTGTACCCATGTGGGAGACCTGGAAGGAGTTTGAGGCTCCTGGCTTCAGATCTGTCTAGCTCCAGCCATTGTGGCCATTTGGGGAATGAACCAGCGAATGGAAGATGTCTTTCTCTGCTTCTGCCTCTCTGTAACTCTGCCTTTCAAATACATAAGTCTAAAATGAGGGGTGGGATGATGGATTGACTTCTTTTTCCATTAATTTCATTTTCCATGAACTTTTTGAAGTCACCTCATTATGAAGAGATTGTGAAAATCTGAAGTTGAGCAACGCCACTGTGAAGGTTAATTGATTCTCTGGCTTTGGTTTTGTCAGTCATTTTTCATGTGGTGGAATCAGACGCAAATGGGCTTAAATCCCAGCTCTCTCTTTACTGCACTGCACCTTGGGGCAAACCTTTGGCATTTCGTTTGTGTTCTCTGTACCAGCTTGCTTCTCTCTCTTTCCCTACCTTTCCTGCTTCCATCTATGTAGCCAAGGGTGGATCCTGGCTTTTGTACCCACCAACCATTTGTCCTGGCGTGAGATACTTAAACTTCCTCAGTTTCCTTCTCTGTAAAATGGGGTACCAACAAGATCTACCTCGTAGGGTATGTGAGGAATGAAACACTGGGCATGTGTACAGTGTGAGGAACGGTGCTTGGCACCTACGTAGCTCTGTGAACATGTTCTGTTCCCTGCATGTTCTCGTTTTTGCTTCCTCTGCTGCTTGTCTCCCAGTGGGCTCAGTGCTGGTTCCCTGTCTCACACTGAGCCCTTTTCATTCCGAGTGCCACCCACCTCCCTGCCTGCCGCCAGCCTCTGTCCCCTGGTCTGGATCCAGAGCTGGCAGGCGCTGCAGCCCCTACCTGTTCTGTTTCTGCTGCCTTGTTTGTCATTCCATCTATGCCTTTTACTTTCCCCGCCCGTATTTCTGCTCTCACTGCTGAATGTTTGGGAGAAAAGGAACGGCTCCACTGGCTGTGCTGCGCTGATCTGAATGAAGGCCTGGTCACACAGAAATGATGCCGGCCCCGTTAGGCATGTGTGAAGGTTATGTTACGAAGTAAAGGATACAAGCAGGGTGAGTTTGCTTTAGCCAGAGTTAGGAGCTCAGCAGTCAGCTTGTGCTGGAAACCAGAGAGCGCCTGTCAGTCCTGCTTGGTTCACAAAGGCCTCCACCAATGAGTTTGGTAAAATGGCCAGACATCCGGGAATTGGGTACACATGTTGTTAAAGAAATTGTCTTTTTCCTTAAAGGACTTTAAATGCAGGGAAACTTGGACTGTGCTTAGGTTTCAGTTAAGTGGCTTCTTTCTCTTTCTTTAAAAAAAAAATCACCATGCAATCTTTTCAGTTTTTAGGTTAATTGGACTAAGAGATCTGACCTGACCAGCCCAACTGTACAGCTCTTCAAGGAAAATTAATATTCTCAGTGAAAGGACGAAGTGACATAGGTATGTATGGCCAAGACTCCGAGTTCTGTTTCTCCTTTCTGCCTCCTGTTTGTTAGCAGTGAGTAGAAGTCTTTTCTAGACCAACAGGGAGACTGGTAAAACCCCCAGCTCTTGTATTACTCTGTTTCTGGTCTGTATTGCCAGCATTTAGTCAAAGAAACTTTGGAATTCCTGATGGATTTTGGTTTTGGCCCTCCACTTACTAGATTTAAAAATCTCTGTTAAGTGGCTGTTTGTTTAACTTTGGTCTCACTAGCAAGGTGGCCAGGCTCTGGCAAGGTGAGGGAGGAGAGCTGTGAGTTAAACCTGTGAGCCCTTTTAGGCCCTAGGTCCCTTTGAGAGTCTTAACTAAACCTGGGAACTAGGAAACTCTACACATGCATGAACTTTAACCTTTGATTTCAGAAAGAGAGAAAGGAAGTAAGTAAACTATCTGTTTGTTGAAGTTCCTAAGGCCTAGCCTCAATTCTAAATGATGTCAGGTTTTTTTTTTGTTTTTTATTTTTTTTTGACAGGCAGAGTGGACAGTGAGAGAGAGAGACAGAGAGAAAGGTCTTCCTTTGCCGTTGGTTCACCCTCCAATGGCCGCCGCGGCTGGCGCGCACCGCGCTGATCCGATGGCAGGAGCCAGGAGCCAGGTGCTTCTCCTGGTCTCCCATGGGGTGCGGGGCCCAAGCACCTGGGCCATCCTCCACTGCACTCCCTGGCCACAGCAGAGAGCTGGCCTGGAAGAGGGGCAACCGGGACAGAATCCGGCGCCCCAACCGGGACTAGAACCCGATGTGCCGGCGCCGCTAGGCGGAGGATTAGCCTAGTGAGCCGTGGCGCCAGCCTGATGTCAGGTTTTAACAATTATTGTCTCTCCTATGGTGGAAGGCTGCTTAAGGAGCTGTGATCCTCTCCAAGCTGGGAGCCCGGACCAGATTGTCTGCAGTGTATTGAGGTCCTGTATTTGCCAGAGCTGCCTTGAGTTTAGAAAAAAAGATGTCTGAGTCCTCTCTGGATGCGCTGTGTGTCAGGAGAGTTCAGTCCACTTCACCCGAACACATTTTTCTGGGGACTGTTTTGCTCTGCCTGTTCTGTCTCCAGCATTGGCTGCCGAGTTCTCATGATGACTGTTTTCTGCCAAAGCTACTTGTAGCCATTCCAAGGGAAGCTGTTGCCATAGTTACCGAGGCTGTGCAAGTTGCCATTTTCTCCTTCTTATTAGCTTGTGGTTTCCCTGATTTTTAAGGTAGCAGCTGAGGTTCTCTTTCTTCTGAACAGCAAGAAAAATGCTGGATTTTTGTTGCTGTTGCTTTTGTTGTTGATGTTGGGTTGTGTGTGTTGGGAGTACGGCTCTGTGGGGGTGTTTTGTATATAAGGTAAAGCCACCTCAAAAGATCAAAGGTTAAGAGTTAAAAGAAAAATCATGCTTGCATATACATTTTCTGTACTCCCAATTTTATTTTTTAAAGGATTTATTTTTTGCTTATTTGAAAGGCAGAGTTACAAAGAGAGGTAGAGACAGAGAAAGAAGCCTTCCATCCTCTGGTTCACTCCCCAAATGGCTGCAATGGCTAGGACTGGTCCAAAAGCCAGGAGTCAGGAGCTTCTTCCAGGTCTCCCATGCAGGTGCAGTGGCCCAAGCACTTGGGTCATCCTCTGCTGCTTTCCCTGGTGCATTATCAAGGATCTGGGTGCCCATATGGGATGCCAGTGTTGCAGGCCAGGGCTTTAACTTGCTGTGCTACAGCGCTGTCCCATGTACTCCCAATTTTAAAAAATTTTGGTCTACTAGTTGAATTTGGTCCACTTGTTGGCCTAATTTTGGACTAGAGGCCAAGTTAGTTACCTTCTACAGGAAAAAAAAATAATAGTTGACCAAGCTGCATTTCACATCGCCTGAACCCCAGGAGCCAGGACACTGCACCCTGGGCTGGGTGTAAACTGGAGTCGGCAGCAGTGCCTCCGTGGAGCAGGTGGCTAAGTCAAGCCGAGGGTGCTGTATCTCAGCTTGCTGTGAAAATAGAGGTGGGGCCAGGCTGCACCTGCTCCAGCAACCCCATCTCATATTTTCATGCAAGGCTATAAACATAGCACTTAACACACACCTGGTGTACCAGGTGCAGGGTAAGCCTACAGGGGTTCAAGGTGGCCTGTGAACAGAAATCACAGTACTACCCCCAGTCCTGCTCCTAGGAGTCCCTCTGACCAGTCTTAATTTTTCCCACTCTCAAAAAAGCACCATTCGCCTAATTTTGCAATGTGCTTCTCTTGAAAATGCTCATGCAATTAAAAAAATGGCAAACAACACCGTACTGCTTTTACCAGCACTCAGGACTATGTATGTGTGAGTTGAGTTGTTGCCAGTCCACTGACAGCTATAGGGTGCTGATGGGTGCCTGCCTGGGTGGTCCCTATGGGCACATCTGGCCCATGGCACCTGTCGTTGGCCTGTCTCTTAGCACAACGTGCCTCTGTAATGCAGTGTGCTCTACCCACCTTGCTGTGCTTGTGAAACCCACTGTGTGCCTCTGCTCCCTAGAGCAAGATGAACGCCATGCTGGAGACCCCGGAGCTGCCGGCCGTGTTTGATGGGGTGAAGCTGGCCGCCGTGGCTGCTGTGCTGTACGTAATTGTCCGGTGTTTGAACCTGAAGAGCCCCACGGCTCCTCCCGACCTCTACTTTCAAGACTCGGGGCTCTCCCGCTTTCTGCTGAAGTCCTGTCCTCTTCTGACCAAAGAGTGAGTACACCCCATTCCTTTGTTTACCCACCTCCGTGGCTTTGTTGCATGTTCAGAGAAGAATCTCGTGTACCATGTTTTAAGGCGTCATTGGAAGTAGTGTCATTGGTGTTAAAACAGCCACAGTCTTGATAGCAATCTGGTATTTGAATCCAAGAGGGTAGGAGAGAGAAGCCCATCTTTGTTGCCTGGAAACATCCCTTCTTCCACAGTATGATGTCCTCATCCATGCCAAGGGCTCTACAGAAAACAGTAGTCGTTTCAAGGTAAATGGAGAAACCTTGGACAATATTCTAGCCCTTTAGCAAATGCCCTGTTGCCAGTTCTAAGAAAGAGGAACCATCCTTACCCAAAATAATTAATATGCAAGAAAGCACAAAACAATTTGTGGGTAGTTTTCACATGCCTTACTGAAAAATGTACCAAGCTTTAGCTAGTTAGAAAGCACTTTAAAAAAGAACTTCCATTCTACGAAAACCAGGTTGTCCTGTGGAAGCCCGGATCTGTATTTTAGAGGTGACAGGGTGATCTCTGCTTCTGGTATGGGAAAGAACAGTTTAGAATGAAGAGGTCTACACCACCGTTTTGAAGCAGTGCGGTGTTAAGTACGTCCTTGCTGGTGCCTGTGTGTTCTCTGGGGCATGGGCCAAGCCCCACACAGAGCATTCTGTGCCCTTCTCATGTCTCTCTCGCCATTGCTGCCTTGCTCTGTGGCTTGCTCTGTCCTGTGTGCAGCCTCATAGGCCTGCAGCTGCTTGGAGAGCAGCACACAACCGGCAGAGTTTCTAGTTCTCATAGAGTAGCAGAAACTTTCCCCTCTAACCTGATATTACCCCTCACCTTCTCCTTTGGGGGTCAGCGACCCTGGGTGAATGATTCTCTTCTAAAAGCAGACAGATGGGCAACAGTCTAAGATGTCTGAGAGTTCGTGTTCTTGCTTTGTCTGGTTTGGATGTCCAGTTAATTTTCACAGGTGGTTAGGCGACAGTGATGAGCTGTGGTCAGCTATGAGCTCTGGGTGTTCATGTGCGGAAGTTATGACAGTGATGCTGTGACTCCCAAGTCAGAGACTGGTGGAGTGCCATGAATAGCATGCAGTCAGGATTTGGGATTTGGAACTGCCCCTGCTGAGGGGACTTCACATTCCAGAAGGTTCCACAATCAGGCATCAGACTAAAGATGTGCTGTTCTTACTGCACTAAAGTCTGCATTGTCCAACATTTTTCGTATTTGAATTTTAGCTGTTTCTTCAATACTTAGCAAGGATAACTCACTCATTTGGGCTGGTTAGTGACATTGGTGCCCCCTTTCAGATTGAGTGGGACCAAAGACCTGCTTCCTTCATCATCTCATTTTTAGAGAGTTTTTGAAAACCAAGGAATTAAATACCCTGCAAGTCTCTATGCAAATGCCTGCAAATTCGTACCCAGTATTGGTTGCTGAATAATTAGAGGAAAGAAGCCACAGAAAAGCTGTATGGCCCAGGCTTTGGAAAAATAGTATATAAGATTTGATTTCATACTAATTGTTCTAAGTATTTTTAAAAGCTGATTATGGCAGCTTTTCACCTCTTTTCTTACTTTGCTTCAAAAAATAGTCTAGACACATTCAACCCAACAGTTTCTCTTGGGTTTTTTTCCCTTCCCCTAGCAACAATGAACCTAAGGTGCTGACCCAATACCACTTGTCCTCTGTTGAAATGGCCCACACCTACCTGCTGGTAGGGAGGTGCATCCCTGGTGCCGTCTCCCTGGATTTGGTGATTTAGCACCAACCTGAGCCAGTGGCATCAACGTGGAGCCCCCTGGTCATTGGCTAGTTGCCATGTTCTCTCCTGGCAAAGCCTGCATTGGCAGGGTGGAGGGTCAGAGAGAGCCTAGGTTAAAAGCAGAGCTGATGCTTATTTAGGAATTAGCTCTGGTTTGAAGATGAGTTTCCCCAGAAACTGTTTGCTTCTAAGACCTGTTCCTTTGATTGCGGGAGTGGCCTTCTTGAGCATGTTGGAACATGATTTAAACAGCTAAAATTGCCTAGCACTCTTGATTTGAACATGACAGATAATTAAAGGGCAAAGGGGCTCATTTGTTTTCCCTCCATCTTTTAAATTGCCTCTTATTTCTGATTTGGATCCTAGTTTTGTTTTGCTTTGTTTGAAGATTTATTTGAAAGACAGAGTTACAGAGAGAGAGAAAGGGTAGTCTTCCAGTCTTCAGATGACTGCAACAGCTGGAGCTGTGACGATCCGAAGCCAGGAGCTAGGAGCTTCTTCCAGGTCTCCCATGCAGGTGCAGGGGCCCGAGGACTTGAGCCATCTTCTGCTGCTTTCCCAGGCCATATAGAGAGCTGGATCAGGAGAGGAGCAGCTGGGCCTCCATCCGGAGCCCATGTGGAATGCTGGCACTGCAAGTGGCGGCTTTACCTGCTAGGCCACAGCACCGGCCTCTGGTTCCTAGTTCTTTAGGAGTAAGCATGTCCTGCGTTCATGTGGCACCTCACCACAGTGTTGTCACATGATTCATTCTTTGTTATTTGAAATGTGTTGAGTACCTGTCATAGGCTTTGTGCCATTTAATCCTCTTGACAGCCTGGAGGTTAGATTCATTTTTCTTGTCATTTGAAGGATGAGGATGGGGGAGTAGCAGAGTAGGAAACCAAACACAAACTGCCTTCTTCCCCCCGGGAAGTCCTGCACCAGGACTTTCTTCAGGGTGCAGGCAAGAGAAGCAAGGCAAAGAGCAGGAGGAGGCCCGCCATGCTGAGAGCCACCAGCAGGACTGGCCCCCGAGTGGCCATTCCTTCCCGAATGCTCCTCTTTGTATTTTGATCGCTCGGTCAGAAGCCACTGTCCCTTGACGTTCCTTCTTTCCCTGGAAGTCACATCTGGAGTAGCCTCTCATGTTTGGAGCTGAGGGCAGGAGACGTATCTGTTGTGGGTGAGAGTGCCGCTCCTGGGACTGTCTCCTGTGCAGAAGCCTGTAGCCTGTCTTCACCCACGCTGTCCGGGCAGCAAAGTCCACTCAGCCGATTCACAGCAAGCTCAGGAATGCTGGCTCCAGGTGGCCAGTCAGTATGACTTACGTGATAAGAAGAAAATATCTTCTCGCTGTGCTGGGATAAGAAAAAAGTGGGTGAAAGGTGAACTGTAAAGCATATTATGAAAGTAAGGATCTGTTTGAAGGCAGTTTACCCAAAGATACAGTGTAAGTGAATCCTTTAATGTCCAAGGGAAAACTCTGCTTCAGTGGGATGTTGTGTCTCTTATTCACTTAGCAGCAGGTCAGTGTTTACCTAGTGAGTCTTTTTTTGTTGTTGTTCTCATAGTGTTTGCTTTCAGTGAAACAATCAGGCCAAAGCTCAGTTGCAAATTATGAGGAAGTCTTGGTGGTGATAGGAATCTCCAGTGTTTTCCTGAATAAAAACTCCAATGCATATTCCTTTTCTTAATGGAAAATAAAGCACACACAAAAATCATCGGTAATTCCCCTGCTCACAGGTGACGTGCTATGACTGTTTTGCTGGGTTTTTCTTCTGCATGCACTTCCCCTTCACAAAACCCAGATAAGGGAACTTACAAAAATGAAGTTCCTGGAAAAATGGAATTAAACCATAAATTTATTTTGATATTAAAAAAACCTTGAAAGTCATGCACAGTTTTTCGAAAAACACAATTTCCATGAACTTTCTGAAGTTCTCTCGTGTAGTGTTTGGTAACTGCTTTGACACTAGTGTGCCATGAACATTTACAGATCCACGTTGCCAACACTCTGTCTGTCGAATTCTGTCATCCGCTCAGCTCTGCTCGTGGCTCTCGGCAGCAGTGGTGTGGATCGAAAGCTTGTGTTGAGACTGAACTAGCATATAAACCTGGAGTCTACCCCTAAAGAGCTCTGGATCCTGGACAGAGCGAGGGCTCCTGTGGTCCTTGATTTCCTTCCACGTCAGATGAAGCAGGCAGAGCTCCTCCGTTGCCCCCAGGCACCAGCATCCTCCAGTTTTGGTACCTTTGCTTCATCAATTAGCATCAGAGAAGTGAGGGCCTCCCAGAGGAGGGGCCCTGGGGAAGGACCCTCAGGAGGAGAGTTCTTGTGTGCCTGTTCCCTCCTAACCATCCTCATACCCCACACTCTGGGACAGGCTGGCACTGTCTCTACTGGACTTTTTAATTTGATTACTGTTTGAGCTGTCGTTTACATACAGTAAAATGCACAGGATCTTGTGCCTAGGTGTTCAGCTGCATAACTGCCACTCCCACGGACTTTTACAGGAGTGTCCCCAGCCACCTCCCTTCCTCTGACCTACCTGTGTGTCATAATGCCACTCAAGTTGGCTTCCCTAAACAGGCCAGCACCCAAGGCACGCAGCAGTGTGACCCCAGCCTGCTTGTCCAGCCTTGTCACTCATTCCCTGACTACTCCAAATCCACTTCTCTCCCCACCAAAGCTCCTTTAACTCTGCCTGCAAGAGAAACTTAAAGATGAGGAGCATCAGTTCTGAGCTTTCCCTGACCTGCCCCACCCACCCCTGCCAGAATGAGCCCCACTTCTATGTCCTAGGGTGTGGTCCCCCAGCTTATAGTGGCTTCTTCATGCTCCCTCTTGTTTCGTGAGAATTTCTGTCTCTCTTTTCCACAAACCAAGAGCCACACATTTAGGGAGACCACTGGATCCCTGGCAGTTCCAAACCAATGCTGTCCTGCCTTTTATTTTCCATAAACACTTGTGTTTATGGAAACTCACTTGCTGCGAGTGCTTGGGCACAAGAAACTGCACTGTTTCCAGCTTGTTCTGTGATACTCTGAAGAAGCAGTTGTATCTTTCACTCTGGCAGAGGTTTGTTTATCTGGGGAGACTGTCTCCTCTTTCCTGTCTGTGGAAGAAGATTGATTGTTTTTGGTTTTGGTGTTAGTTTTGGGTTTTTGTTTGTTTGTTTGTTTTGGTCTTAAACTCAGGGCAGCCCCATGTATGAGCAAATGGCAGTTTGCAACCACCACCCTTCTCTAT